GGGCAGCTGTCACTTGAGAGTTTTCAAACTGCTGGCAGAGCGTGTCCCCGCAGAGCCCCGCGCTCGGCCACGTGCCGCCCGCCTAGATGCCGGTCCGCATCCTGCTGCTGGGCGCAGCATTGGCGCTTAGCCACCCTGCAAATCTTTGCTTTTCCAACCCGTGTCAAAACCGAGGTGAATGCATGAGCGTGGGATCGGACCGGTACAAATGCGATTGTACCCGGACAGGATTCTATGGTGAAAACTGTCCAACACCTAAACTTCTGACAAGGATAAAATTACTGCGGAAGTATACGGCCAACATGGTGTACTCCATGCTTGCTTACTTCAAGGGAATCTGGAACACTGTCAATAACATTCCCTTCCTGCGGAATTCAGTCATGAGATAGGTGTTGCCCGCCGAGTCGCATTTGATTGACAGCCCACCAACTTACAAGGTGCACACCACACCTACAAAAACTGGGAAGCCTTCTCTAACCTCCACTACCACAGAGCCCCTCCTGCTGTAGCAGATGACTGCCCAACTCCCATGGTGTGAAAGGGGGGAAAGGGCTTCCTGATTCAAAAGGTTATGGGAAAAGTTCATCCCTGGTCCCTCCAGATTTGGGGGATGCTAGACAGGGCAAATGACATCAAATAGCTGGGAGCCCATTGAATACGTTTTCCCAGTCATCTTGTGTCTCCCCAGAGTCCGCTGACAGCATGCAAGAATTTTCGATTTGCATAAAAGTGTATGAGATTTCCTCAACCCTACTTCCTATTCTGTTCTGTTCTGAGAACCCAGACTCAAATATGGGAAATTAAGCAATCTTGAGCTTCAGATCTGTAGCCAATTAGCAACTCTTACGGATTGCAAACTACTTTTATTCCTCCCTCCAATCCTAATTTAAGCAATAAACTAGTAACATTTGTTGGGCACATACTGTGTGTGAATCCTCACTTTAGGTCACTGGTTCATAAACACTTCACAGCAAGGAAGCATCTCATTTTTATCTATAAAGTAGATTTTAAAAATTAATTTTTTTTTAGCCGGGCATTGGTGGCGCACGCCTTTAATCCCAGCACTTGGGAGGCAGAGGCAGGCAGATCTCTGTGAGTTCGAGACCAGCCTGGTCTACAAGAGCTAGTTCCAGGACAGACTCCAAAGCCACAGAGAAACCCTGTCTCGAAAAACGAAAAAAAAATTAATTTATTTTTGTTTTATGTGCATCGGTATTTTGCCTGCATATATGTATGGGTGAGGGTGTTAGGTTCCCTGGAACTGGAGTTACAGACAGTGGGTGCTGGGAATTGAACCTGGATCCTTTGTAAAGGCAGTCAGTTCTCCCAACGGCTAAGCCATCTCTCCAGGCTCTAAAGTAGATTTTTTTAAATGTAATATAACATAGAAAAGCAAGCATTATTTTCCCTTTTACAGGTGAGAAAATTAAGACCAAAGAGTATTGATCACTTTGATGTTTAATTGGAAACCCAAACACTAAGCTAACTCTATCTCACAACTTCCATAAAACTCATTCCCAGGGCTGGGGAGACAGATAGCTTAGCAGGACAAAGGCACTTGCTGTCAAACCTGAAGACCTGAGTTCAATCCCATGGGTCTACATGGAGAAGGAGACACCAGCAAATTGTCCTCTGGTCTCCTCTACCTGTTGTGCCAAGCAACACAGACACAGGCACACGCGCACACACACACACACACACACACACACACACACACACACACACACACACACACACAGAAATGCAATTAATTTTTAAATGTTTTTTTAGAACATCATTGCTGTTATCCCAAGTTCATTATCTGTGGAAGTTCCTTCCAAAAAGTCTGCTCATTTCTAACAGGTAGCCTTGGCTAGCCTGGAACTCCTTATGTAGACCAGGCTGCCCTCAAACTCATAGATTATATCTACCTGCCTCCGAGATCCCAAACAATTTCTTAGATAACTCCTGAAAATTTGAGCACTTTGGAATCTAGCTGCAAAATGATTTCATAGAACTTCATTTTGTGGGTGGCATGTGGTGAAAGGGGGAACATGGACGGGACTTTGCACTGAAGGGACCTGAGGACCAGACATGAAGGGGCCAGGAGTTGCCTGCATTCTCCACCCCACCAACTCCAGCATGCTATAGTCTCAGAAACGAGAAGAGAGGAAGCAGCTTGTGAGCAGCAGCAGGGATTCCAAACGTGTGAATGAGCCTGTCTCCACCTCTAGGGATTTTTAAAATAATTTATTTAGCTTTATGTTATGTGCATTGATGTGAAGGTGTCAGATCCCTTGGAACTTGAGTTATAGATAGTTGTGAGCTGCCATGTGGGTGCTGGGAATTGAACCCAGGTTCTCTGGAAGAGCAGCCAGTGCTCTTAACTCCTGGGCCATTCTCTCCACCCCCCACCTCTAGAGATTTTAAAGCAAGGCTATCTCTATTTTTAGTTGGAATTCACTTATGACAGTATTTCCCGTTGTATACAAAGGGACAGATTAGGCCTGTGAAAGTTAATCAGTGGCAGAGCACTAACCTAGCGTGCAGAAGACAGGGTATTTGCTGGGCATGGAAGAACAAACCTATAAGCCCAGCCCTTCAGAGGCAGAGAGTTCTAAGCCAGTCAGGAATGCATAACAAGACAGTGTCTTTAAAAGAGGGGGGGCACATGGAGGCTTTGATCTCAGCACTCTGGAGGCAGAGGCAGGTGGATCTCTATGAGTTCGAGAACAGCCTGAACTATAGAACTAGTTCCAGGACAGTCAGGGCTACACACACACACACACACACACACACACACACACACACACACACACACACACACAAACACACACACACAAACCAAAACAAAAACCAAATCTCAAAATAAAAAATTTAAAAGAAAAGAAAAGCTGGGCATAGCTGCACATGCCTGTCTCCAGGCACTGGGGAGCAGATACATATGGGTCCTCAGATTTCACTACTCAGCCAACCTAGGCATAGCAGAGAAATTCCAATTCAGTGAGAAATTCCAGCTCAAGGCATTAATGCAGAGAGCAAGAGAAGAAATTCTACATCCTCTGAATGTGCACATACTAGCTCATGAACCTGTGTATTTATGTGCACACAACAACACAGAGAAGCTGGGCATTGGTGGCACACACCTTTAATCCCAGCACTTGGGAGGCAGAGGCAGGCGGATCTCTGTATGTGACTTTGAGACCAGCCTGGTCTACAGAGTGAGTTCCAGGACAGCCTGCAAAGCCACAGAGAAACCCTGTCTCGAAAAACAAAAAACAAAACACAGAGAAAAAAATCTAGTAATTCTTATGATTCATAGTTTTGTGTCAGATCCTATGTCTTATTGGACAACTTTAATGCATTAGAGATTCCTAATATAATGTACTAAAATGTACCAGTTTGAATGCATTAATATTAAACTCAATGTCACCAATAACATAGGGATGTCACATTAAGGACAGAAGTAGAACACTTCCCCTTTTGTGTCATTTAACCTAGAGCAAGGTGAGGCTGAATTCTTGACTTTGATCTCCCTGTGTCTTCCATTGTCTGTCACAAAGGGCTTCTGCTCTGTATTTACCAAACAGCACAGAAAGCAGGGGGCAAGGAATGAGGGACTTTACGGAAACCTCTAACAGAGTTTCCACAGGGGATTAAGTCATTGACTCCAACTGACTTGAACTGATCTGATAACAAACACCATCAAGCAATGTCCAATGCGGCTTCCAGGGTTTATGGTGGCTAATCATTTTCTAAGGCCACTTTCAGCTTATTTTCTGTTCGCAGCTAATGATTATCATAACACACATGCAACATTCTGGGCCAGGGGCATGAGAGAGTATATAACTAACATTGCAGCTATTCATTAGCTTAGGTTGGAAAAGATGATCACATGGAAAACCCAAGATGAGTAAGATTGTTACTTTGCCCTCTTAGGGATAGGTTAGACAAATAGGCTGAATACACAGTGGCAAGCACTCTTCAGTCTTTTTATAATTATTGTTGTTATTGGTTTTGGGGGGGGTTTTGAGACACGTTTTCACTATGTAGACCAGGCTAGCCCAAAACTCACAGAAATCCATCTGCCACTGCCTCCCAAGTGCTGGTGTGATGGCCAAAAACCCCCTTGGTTTAATGCTAGGCATCCATCTCTACCCATTAGTATCTCTGACTCTAGTCCCTGGAAAAAAAGTTCGCAGTAACCCTGACTCAGTGACTGCACCCACCTACCCAGAAATGTACACCACGACCATCTCCTTGTTCTGTTTTGACTAACTGCTTTTTGGTTCTGTAACCTGTTTATGGAGATATTCGGGTTGCCTTGGCTACCTAATCTAGGCTGAGCCAAACAGCTCTTGGTTTGTTTGTGCAGGTACTCAAGGTCTCCTTGTGATTTTCCCCTTTAAAAATTCCTCCCCCACCGTGCCCTTCTCAGGTAGTCTCGGCTGGCTTAGAGATTGTGGCCCTGCTGGCAGTAATCAGGAAACCTTTGAATTATAATTGGATCGAGTCTATTCTCTCTTCCCAGGGGTCAGGATCTCCAAACACTGGGATCCAAGGCATACCCACAGCAGCACTGTGGTCACCACCGCCCAACAGAGTCACTGCATCAAATCCGGAACTTGCTGTTGGCATCCTCATTAGTGCACTTCTGAGGATCCAAACTCTACTTCTCACTCTGGCAAGACAAGCTGTTTAACCACTGAGCCATCTTTCCAGGCCCCTAAATTATACTTCTTTTTTTACCTTTAAAAAAGCCTTGAGCCAGGCTGGAGAGATAGCTCAGAGGTTGAGAGAATTGACTGCCATTCCAGAGGTCATGAGTTCAATTCCCAGCAACTACATGGCAGCTCCCCATCTATAGTGAGATCTGCTGCCCTCTTCTGGCTTTCAGGCAAACATGCAGACAGAACACTCTATAATAATTTTAA